GCCATAAGTAAGACCCAGGATGGCCAAATTTTAAAAATTCTACATATTTTTCTAGGTGCTAGGATACTGAATATGCAAAAACTATAGGTCTCACAGCAAGAGATAAAAGGCACAGAAGCATACATTCTTCTCTGCACATATTAACAGTCACTGAACACGATGTGGCCCCCTCTTCTGACGTGCACATCTGTCAATTAATTTAATCCTCAAAACCGTTTATGTGTAAGCATTGTCATTTTACAGGTGAGAAAACTGAGGTACAGAGAAATTAAGTAATTAGACCAAAGTTATAAAATGAGTGAGCTGACAAACCAGAATTTAAATCCAGGCTCTATCACTTGATGGACTAGATGGCTCAGGTTGCTGTAACAGAATATTACAGACGGGGTGGCTTAAATAATAGAGACTAATTTCCTCGTGATTCTGAGGAGTCAGAATCCAAGATCAAGTCGTGGGTAGGTTCAGCTTCTCCCGAGGCCTCGGTCCTTAGCTGGCAGCATCCTCACATCCACCTTTCCTCTGTGTGAGCCGTCCCTTTATCTCTTTTTCTTCTTATAAGGCCACCAATCATATGATGAGGGTCCACCCGAAGGGCCTCACTTTTTAATCACCTTGAGATTATTTCCAAATATGGTTACATGTGAAAGCAACCCTCAAATGGGGGTTGGGACTTTGACATACGGAATTGGGGGAGAGGGCACACATCAATCCCGAACATCTGATGACTGTGGAACCTCAAGAAAGTTACTGGACCTTCCCAGGAGGCAGTTTCTTCAACTGCCAAACAGTGCTATTGAGAATCAAACGAGGTAATTAATGTAAAATGCCTAGCAGAGTGTCTGACACACAGTATCATCATTTTACAGAGGAAGGAAACAAATCTCCAGAGGGTGACTTGCCCTGTGTTCATCTCTGAAGTGGACTTCTTACACTGCACAACACTATCTTCCTCCATAACCAAATGCATCACCTAGCACAATTTCATGGAATTTATACACTTCATACATCTCTTGATTTTCTGCTTTGTCACAGTATTTTTCTTTCTTTCTAAGATTTTGTTTGATGAGGACCATTTTGAAAAAGCTTCACTGAATCTGTTGCAACATTGCCTCTGTTTATGTTCTGGAGTTTTTGGCCACGAGGCATGAGGGATCTTAGCTCCTAGACCAGAGATCAAATTGGCACCCCCAGCCTTGGAAGGTGAAGTCTCAGCCACTGGTCCATGAGGGAGGTCCCTCACAGTAATTTTGCTTATTACATAAATGCAAGTAAAAGAAGGAGAAGCTCAAATAAAAATTTATCGAAGGAAGCAGACTACTTTCCTGGGATTAGATGCAAATTTCATTCATCTTTTCTCCTAATTTGGAAAGGCAACTGGCTATAGCCACATAGAGATGACACCTCAGAGGATAAATACCTATATTTAGCTCTCAGGGGAAAAAAAACTCAACTTTTTTAAAAAAATTAAGATTATCCTTTACATTTGCCTAGTATTCTGCATATAATACATCTATTGAATCCTCAACACCATCTTATAATAGAGTTTTATTTAGCTCTCATAATAATCATGTGAAAATGGTATTATTCCCATTTTTCAGCCAAGGCGAGGGAACAGAAGCATAGCAAGGTTAATAGTTAATTTCTTTAAGTTCCAAAATTTGGATTTTTCATCCTTCATGCTTGGCACAGAGGAGGCACTCAGCAAATAAGGTAGTCTGATTTGGGGACATTTAAACTAAGCTATAATGTAAGCTCTCTTTTATACCCTTGACATGTGCTAAGTGTCCTAACAACTTTGATCACCACCAACCCTTTGGATTGACAGCTCTTTTAAGGCAAAAATCACAGCCCCTTCCTCTGTGTCAAGCACACCTGGTGCTCATTTAGGTTCAACAGATACTTGAAAAATTAGAGTTCAAACACATATTTGTAAATAATCAAATCACATTCTTCCTCGAGTGCTAGCAGTGGGTATTTTTCAGCCACCACTATATAAAAAACATCAACAAAAAGAAGCATTTAGGGTTTTCCGGTGGCTCAGAGGTGAAAAATACAGCTGCCAATGCCGGGGGACATGAGTTCAATCCCGGGGTCAGGAAGATCTCACATGCAGCAGAACAACTAAGCTCATGTACCACAACTACTGAGCCTGTGCTCTAGAACGTGGGAGCTACAAGTACTGAAGTCCCTGCACCCTACCGCCCGTGCCACACCACAAGAGAAGCCACTGCGACAAGAAGTCTGTGCACTGCAACCAAGACCCAGCACAACCAAAAACAAACACACGAAATCAATGCTTTCCAACTGTGGTGCTGGAGAAGACTTTTCAAAGTCCCATGGACAGCAAGGAGATCCAACCAGACAATCCTAAAGGAAATCAACCCTGAGTACTCATTGGAACAACTGAGGCTGAAGCTCCAATACTCTGGCCACCTGGTGCAGTCAACTCATTAGAAAAGACCCTGATGCTGGGAAAGATAGAGGGACGGAGGAGAAGAGGGTGTCCGAGGATGAGATGGTTGGATTCAATGGACATGAACTTGGGTAAACTCCAGGAGACGGTGAAGGACAGAGAGGCCTGGCATGGCTCCGCGAAGAGTCAAACATGATGGAGCAACTGAACAACTGTGTGTGCGTATGTGCGTGTGGCATTTATAAAATCCCTCTCATGGTCTGCAACAGAGAAGCCTACAGGACTTTCCCAAGTCCCAAATCCAATGATTCCATAAGTCTACTCTTGGTTGGCAGAATAATTCACCACCTCTAGCACCAATTACAGGCACAACACAATTGAATTCGCTGGGGCAGAACCACAGTCACATTCTTAGTCTGTAGAGTGCTTTGGGGCAAACAACCATTTTGCACAAGTTACAGAAAAGCTCCCAATTTCCAGAGGGAACGGAAATGGATGATAAGGTCAGTCTGAGTGGCCAGTGTAACTGCTGTCTTGTCAAGGTCTTTACATCATAAAGAGGAGCTCTATTAAGAGAAATCACGCTAATTTGCTTTCTTAAGAATAGACTATAGTTTTTTTTTTTTTTTTTTTAAAGCTTCCAGTTTGTTTCCCATAAGGTGCCAGGCAAGTTTTGACCCTGCCATGGAAACTATCTGACCGCTTCTGAGCGGTTCTGTATGCAGGCAAGGCAGGGAGCCAGGGCTGGCCAGAGCAGTGCTTAAACCTCTGCCCTCAGCCTTCCTGAAATTCAGCGCCTCGTGTGTGGACATCCGGATTATTCATCTTTTTATTTTCATGGACCCTATTGTGAACCGGCTATCACCTCTTTGACTAACTACTTCGCAGAGATGTTGTAAGAAATTTAGAAAAAAAAAAGAACAAAACAACAACCCAAACTCCCAGAAAAAAAACATTCAATAAAGAACTAAAAGGATAAAGTACTGTCACCATTTTTACACTTTCTCTCTGAATCAAGCTTTTCAAAGTACTCTGAGATCTGGTGCAAATTCACTAGGAAAGTAAAGAGTTAGTTACTCTAGGTTTTCTTTTCTAAGTAAAGGTATCCTACAAATACTCTTTTCTGATGCCTTAAAGAGAGAGAGGACATTTCAGAAAGAAATGAAGAGGCATACAAATGGAATAATTCTGCAAATAGCCAAATTTAAAAATATGAAATTTATCCACATCTCATCACTAATACTTACTAGATATATGGAATATACAAAGCACTGGGCTAGATGCTATTAATGACACATAATTAGCATTAATAAGAAATATCTATATCCTCCTTGCATGTAACTGCACCCTAAGATAAAACTTGTTTAATTTTCCCAAATAAACAAAGGTTTTGAGTTTCCCTAGGACACAGAAGAACAAAATATATATATATTTTTTTCTCTACTAGGATTTCCTGGATTCATAGAAAAACTGTCCAATACACTGAGGGAGAAACTCTTCTTTTATCTACCAGTTTCCACTGATAAGGAGCAGCTTTCCAAGAATGACTGAGCTACAGAATGACTGTAATTTCCACAACAACCTGATTAAATCTGACATGCACAAGACAGGGAGAGAGGACCCCTGCGCCCTTCAATTCCAATAAGAAAAGTTGATGCGGGCCGTCAGGGAAAGCAGGAAGAAGATCAAGATCATGTGGCTTGGGAAAAAGGTCAAGAACCAGAGGGCAGAAAGATTCCAAGGAACACCAAGCACGTGGGATTCCCTGAAGGCCCTGCCATATTCAATCCCACAGGGTCATGCACTACTGGGAAAAATGAAGGCGTATCGCACGCCTCGCCCCTTCTACTGATTGAGCTTGACAAAGAAAATTAAGACAACCTTTTCAAGTTACTCCATCAAAGGCAGAAATCGTAGCCTGGGCATCTAGGAGAATGTGCTCATTAGGAGGGGTAAAAGACTTGTTTGGCAATTAGTCAGTGTCTTTTTACCCAATTCACTTAAAACAGGAAGCCCTGAATTTCCTTAAAGCGTTGCTCGTATTGGTTTGTTAGAACTGACTGTTCTAAAATATAAATTCTTTGTGTATGTTTACTCCCCCTGACTAGATTAATGGCCAAACTGTTCTCAAAAATAGAATGAACTTCTTATGATCTGCTTCTTTCAAGTTTCACATTGTATTTTCCCAAAGCCACAGAACTGATAATCTTCAAAAAAATGAAATAAAGGGAGTGCCGAGAACCAGGCACCCAGTCCAAGGACGGGAAATAAATGAGGATTTCAACCCCAAGGCAAAGAGGGCATACTCACAGTAAGGTCAAGATCATATATTTAGGAAGCCTATAGCACTTAAAACTAAGTTGTGTAGTCACCAGTTCTCATCGAGCCGAACCATCTTTTGGGACAGCCAGTCATGAATAAGATTGCTGTCTTTGGAATTCAGACAGCAAGAATAGGCAGCCTCTTCTCAGAAATGGAAAATGACACTCAGCCAGCTCTGGGTCCCGTGGTGTAGTCTCACATGAAGGAAGCACTTGAACAATTCTCCCCCCCCCCTCCCCCCGCAAATGAAAAGGAGGTAACTTACATGGCTCTCTGGCAATGAACTGAGGTACAGTGTTGGGCAGAGGAGTACTAGGGTTTGGAGTCCCTACTAGTTTGTTCTTGGCCATCTTCGTGTTTGCCTTAGCAAACTCTAGTCGTAGTGTTTGCGGAATTTCAGGATCGAAGCGGATGCCCTTCAAAAATAAAGAACAAATGGAAGATGTTTTCATTTCCTTAGACTCAAACCGGAATGGTGACAAAATAAACATACCAGTCAACCCAGCCTATCAGGAAAAAAAAAGTCAGCAAGAGCACTCACTCTCACTGCTTATACAGAATACATGAAAATCTGTGATACAACATGTCCACAAAGTCAAGGGGATTTAGTTTACTCTATCAAAAATTTAATTTAGTTGCATGGTTTTCCAACTATTCCTTTTCTTTTTGGACTACACTATCAGGTTCAGGTTGTTTTTTGTTTCTTTTAATGTGGACCATTTTTAAAATCTTTCTTGAATTTGTTGCAATATTGCTTCTGCTTTATGTTTTGGTGTTTTTGGCCAAGAGGCATGTGGGACCTTAGCTTCTTGACCAGAAATTGAACCTGCAGCCCCCTGCACTGGAAGGCAAAGTCTCAACCACTAAATCACCAGGGAATTCCCTCAGGTTCAAATTTTAAATATGGACCAACAAATTCCTAGCATGGCTAAAAACTAATTAATGCCTACCAATGAGAATGAATTAATGTAAAGCCCTGTGCAACACTGGAAATTCTAATACCAAAAATCATAAGAAGGATCTGACCAGTGTTTAAAACAATATAATTCTTCAATGCTTTAGTTTCATCACCTCTAGAGGGGGAAAATTCCCATCTTTTCCCAACTGGAGAACTTTCATACTGATGATACATGTGCTCTGAATTACTAAGTAGACAAGAACTAAACAGTTTTAAGATTTCAATATAACTAGTATCATTTCATTCCAGTTAGCTTCCAGACTGATAAATTTAGATCAATGTCTTGATGTATTAAGGTCCTGATTTTGACTATAGCTGGCTCATTAGCTACATGGATGGACAGACAACAGATCACCGGGCCAAAGAGAGGCTAGCAATTTCTATCCTTAACTCTATTATTACAGTTTACCTACACAAAACATATTCAACAAAATAAGTCACACACTATAAAATACAAGATTTTTTTTTTTTGGATGTAGACCATTTTTAAACTCTTTACTGAATTTGTTACAATATTGTTTTTTTTTTTATGTTTTGGATTTTTTGGCCACAAGGCATGTTGGATCTGAGCTCCCTGACCAGAAATCTAACATGCAACCCTCAAGCATTGCAAGGCGAAGTCTTAACCACTGGACTGCCAGGGAAGTCCCTATGAAATACAAGATTTAGGACAAGATAAGTCTGTTCTGAAATCTCCCCACCCCAACTCCATCATTCAAGAAGGTCTCTAGTACTGAGCATACTGCGTCATCTCATGAGATCTACGTCCAATGCTATGGAATCTGGACCCCAATAACAGTATGAAAAAGACACCCCAGAATAATATGGTGTATACTGGTGTGTTCAGAACAGACTTAGGCACCCTGTTTGTATGGCATGTTCTGGAAAAGGAGTGAGTTCTGAAAATGAACACAGGTTTTCAGTTTAGCACCCGCATAAGCCTGCAGGTTCCAAAGCCCCTTTCTTCATTTAATTAGCTTGAATTAAAGAGCAATTTCCACCAGAAATTAGGAAGAGTCTCTAATTCTGCAGACCAGCATGAACAACTTGAATTTCACAGGCTCAGCTCCAAAGATGGGAGGAAGAGCTGTGACTTCATGGTAACAGCAGTAAGAAAAATGAAGGGAGATGAGGGGGTCAGAAGTCCTCGGGGAGGAACCACAGAAACCATAAAGCCCCGACCCACAGATGTCCCAAAGTGGGTGGAATTTCCTTCTGAGCCTGATCAACACACTTTCTCAGAAGAAACCAATTGCAGGAGCAAGCAGGTTGGAGTGAACAAGGAATCCTCTTGGGCAGCCCTAACCAATGACGAAAACGAAAAAGGGGGCAGCTGTATGAAACGTAAAAAGCAATTCTTTAACTGCCCTTAGTTTTTGTCTTAATTGGGGAAACCTCAGGACTGTCTTGCCGAAAATGTATATATGGGGAAAAAGACAAGGCAGCATGCGGAAGTCATGTTTGCTTCCATCCACTTCCACGGAGAGCATCTCCCTCCATCAGAGCTGGTTTAACAACAGAGTAAAGATGCCCAAATACGGATGTGAAGAGCTGTGGTCTTTGCTGGAAAACGAGCACAGCTCCCCGTGGTCAAAGGTGTGCTGTGGAAGGGCCTGCGTATTCGTCTCACGCCCCATCCAACCGCACATAGAAAAAACGTGCTCTCAATTTCAGAGTGTCCTCCTTGGCGCGTAACTCCATCATCCTTCTGCAAAGAAGCACCTGTCCTCACCCTGAGCCCACATCACCGTGAGCAGCGTGGGAAGAGCCTCCTGGTCAGGGGTCCTCTGGAGTTTCTAGTCCCTGAGAGGAGGCTCTCCATCTGCATTCGGTTCCTCAGTTCTTTTCCTGATGCGCCCGAGTTGACTGAGGCTCTTACACAACCTGGTCTCGTGACTCAGGTCCTAAAACATGCTTGAGTGGCCCCAACTCCTCACCCCAACTCTTCATCCTCCTCCTCCCTCTGTGAGCTAAAATAACACCACCATCATCATCATGTTCCAAATCAAAGTTCCAGCTCCTTATTAAAAAAAAAAAAAAAAAGCTCAGAAGTTAAAATGACCTAATTTGTTTGGCAGCTTATTCAGAGGCCGGAGGCTTAGAATACAAGCCACATTCCTCTAACATCTTTAGCAGCAATACCATATTTGGTAATCAATATCCTGCTCAGCTCAGTTGCTATCCAGAGGGATTAGCCAAGCCAAAAACATTTGAAACGTGAAAGGATGAAGAGGAGGCAGAGGGAGGCAGGGATGGGGGAAACATCGAAGTGAGGAGGAAGAGAGAAGAGGAGAAAGATGAAAAAGAGGAAGACAGATAAAGAAGGATACATGGGAAAAAAAAAAAAGACCTCCTTGTGCTTTTAATTAAAGCCTATTAAGATTATTCTCTGGTTACAGTGACTTCAACATTAAATGCTATCAGGATAAGATTACTACTAAATCAAAAGAGGGAACCTGTGACTTTCAAAATCAACTTTTCCTTCATTGTCTAAAATTGACCAAAACCCTTCTGACAAGTGAATAGAAACTTTTTCTCTTCCAACTGTAAATGGTGTCCAGAAAGGACAGTTTCTGGATATCAGGATGATACCAGTTTGAGAAGTTATTCAGAAGCAACCCAACCTGACTGGCTATAGGGCCAGCCAACAATCTCTCCAACATGGCCTAATATACTTTGACCAAAGCAACACAGGTTCACCGGGATCTACAACGGCGAACTCCCTACCCAAGGGGCCAGGAAGTATCCTTAGCAGTCTACAGCTGCTCAGTCGTGTCCAAGTCTTTGTGACCCAACGAGCTGCTTGCGACATGCCAGGCTTCCCTGTCCTTCACTAACTCCCAGAGTTTGCTCAAACTCAAGTCCGTTGAGTCGATGATGCCATTCAACCATCTCATCCTCGGTCGCCCTCTTCTCCTCCAGCCTTCAATCTTTCCCAGCATCAAGGTGTTTTCCAGTGAGTCGGCTCTTCACATCACGTGGCCAAAGTATTGCAACTTCAGCTTTAGCATCAGTCCTTCCAGTGAATATTCAGGGTTGATTTCCTTTAGGATTTAGCAGTCTACTAAATAACACCAAAGATTGTTATCAGGGCAGTTGCAAATCCATAAGCCTGTGTGTTACGGACTAAACGTCTGTATTCTCTCAAAATTCACGCTGAAGCCCTAACTCTCAATGTGATGCATTCAGAGGGAGGGCCCCTATGAAGGGATTAGTGCCCTTGAGAGAAGGGGAAGAGACATGCGAGCTTGCTCTCTCCAAGAGCACCCACCGAGGAAAGGCCACGTGAGGACACAGTGAGGAGGTAGAAGCCTGCAAGCCAGAAGCAGGATCCTCACCAGATACTGACTCTGCTGGCAGCTTGATCTTGGACTTCCTAGCTTCCAGAATGGAGAGAATTAATGTTGTTTACACCACCTTGTCTGTGCTATTTTGTTATGGCAGCCAGAGCTAAGATACCTTAATAACACGGTTTTGTTTCTTGCACGACACTTCCTAAAATAGGTCACAGTACTCCTCCTGAACTTTCTCTGCAGTCTCATCCAGGTGAATCTCCTCTTCTCCACCAGCCCCAGCCCCAAGCCCACCACTCTCCCCTCACTACAAGTGACTCAACCCACAGGAACAGTTTTAGTCAACCATCGGTGTTGATGTATGTGATTACTAGAAGTCTTAACAATTCAATCTCAAAAGCAACAAACAGCAATTAGAGACTGGAAGGAAAATTCAAACTCTATATTTGCATACAGTCATGCTCTACACTCCCTTTGTTGAGGCAGTTGCCCCTTCTCTTTCTCCTCAAATGAAAGGTTAAAATCATCTGTAAATAGAAAATCTTGAAAAAAGAATTTTCAGAATTGTAAACTTAGACCCCCTTAATGAAAATCTGTGTTTCTTATTTATATTGAATTTAGATTCTAAGCAAGCTACAGAGCTTCAAAATGCCATTTTATGGCTCTATGGACTATGGCAAAGGCTGGTGTCTCAGAAGGACAAGGGAAGAGCTAGTATATAAGAAAACACACGAAAATGGCAAACTGACAGGACATCACAAAATCCTGAAGACCCAAGCCTGCAGAAATCTAGAGAATCACTGAAAACGGGCCGTAGCTCTTCCAGTGTCTTTCTGGAAGACCGGATGGAAAAGCTATTAATTAATGCGCTGCAAAACTTGTATCGTACCCCAAGTTGCTCTCATGTTCTTCTAGGTGTTGCAATTCTGGTTTCTTAGGCACAGTGGCTGCGCTGGAACGATTTACTGGTGGCAAATCACGGGTTTGGAATCATGATTATTCTGAAAATAAAGGTTCATCATCATTCCAACCCTTTAGCCGTGTCACTGGTATTAATGTCATCTCACAAGAGTGGAATAAATATTAGTCAGAAGTTTATTCATTGAATAATGGAAGGAAAAAGGAAAGAGGGGGGCTATTCCAGAATGATTAAAATATCCTTAGA